TGCCAGGTTTATATACGAAAATAGAGGGCACCTAGAAAAGACTAGAGTTGCCAGGAACAGTCATGATCCTTCTAAAAACTCCAGCATGCATGCTTCCAGCGTCGCATGACTTCCGCTGTCGTAACAATACTATCAGTGGTTAGCTACCTACTGAAATATATCTGTCTAGTCCAATGGAAACTTTTGCTTAGCAACAGTAACCACTCCAAAGTAACTTGTGATGTAATATTAACAGTAATTGAATTATTTTTTATAATATTAGTCAGGACAGTCAATAAAAGCTTATGAAGTATTATTGGAATTATTTTTTAAAACTCAGAAGAAAAATTAGTTCACAAAAATCTATTTTTTCATCTTATTTGAGTCTTCAATTTAACTGAATGCTAATTGTACAAATAAATTAGTAAATACTCAAATACATATCATAAAATTAATAGACTAGTTTACAATCAAACTACGTAAAAACATAAAATCCCTGATACAACAAGATTCAACTTCCATAAAATACTGAGACTTTAGACCTGGCACACACATTTCATCTGTAAAAACAACAACCTTAGTGGTTCTAACCTTCAAATATTTCAGATACTGACAACAATAACAAAATACTTAAGCCTGAATGCTACTCTTAGTTTATTCCCAAGTAGGTAAGGCCACATAAAAGAAAGTAAACAGCCAGTTATGTAAAAAGCACACAGTCGATGCAAAAATTAAAGCCACTGCAGAAGTGTCTTAGCTATGCAAGATAAAATCAGCAACATAAAACGTATTTTGACCACACATTTAACGATAAGCCTTTCAGAAAATTAGCTAATATAATTCATCGTACACTGTAGTAAATGCTGACCAATCATGCTATGAACATCAAAGTCTAACGTTTTAAACCAACTTAATACTCCACACTAAATAATTTTACATTTTTAATAAACTTCTTTAATTGCCTAACTGACAGAAGTGCTACTCAGTGCTTTATTAGAAGATTTTTTTTTCCTTAGATTATGGAAAACTGAAAATAAAATAACTGTATTCTATATAGAAAGCTCTGAAGAAGGACGATTTTCACTCACCTCTGTCTTCATCTTGTTCACTATCACATACATCTTCTCGTAACCCACTTAAAGTTTCTAAAAGCAAGATAATACAAACTGATGTAATGCCAGTGCTTCATTGAAGTCAAAATAGTAGCTACTAAAATGTTTAAACTTGTGTAAAAACTACGGAAAAAACAATATTATCCAGTTAGCCTTATGATGAGATTACTAAGGTGTTAGAAATGGGATTGTTATAGAATCAGAGCTAACAATACCTGATGGAATCATTAAAGGTTAAGAGATTGCCTGGCCCAATGGGATCACTAACGAATGAAAGAGAACTTTAACTAACTCTTGGCAATGCTAAGGAATTATGGTATGGTATTTGAATGTTACACGCATTTCTACCTTCTTGTGATACTATAGTATTTGTTCCATGTTTATTCTTTGTTCTGTATATGTACAGATTTCATATAATGTGATTATGGAAGCCATTATAAGCTGATTTCATTCTAAAACTACCTTTGTTCCTTTGTTGTTCCATGAATTGATAATACTCGTTACCACCCAGGGAGGATATTGCTCAATATAACATGTTGTGTAAGGATGTTACAGCAGTGTCCTTCAATGATTGTTCAGATGACATCAAGAAGTTATGGCCCCACCAGTGTTGCAATGAAAATGATCAGTCACAAGGGTAGCACTAGTCATCTTGGATAAATGAGAGGATTTTTCCATGCTAAGGAATGTTACATTTGATCAGTGTAGTCAGGATGAGAGGAAAAGTTAAACAGTAAAAAGTCCAGTCAACCCCACCAGTGTTGCAATGAAAATGACCAGTCACAAGGGTAGCACTAGTCATCTTGGATAAATGAGAGGATTTTTCCATGCTAAGGAATGTTACATTTGATCAGTCTAGTCAGGATGAGAGAAAAAGTTAAACAGTAAAAAGTCCAGTCAAGGCGATCGTCCCATGTAAGTAAAAAGCAAGTACCCACACTGCATTGGTTTTCAACATTCTAATAAAGACTGTAAATTTTGTTTTTATACCTTGTGTTCAGTCGTGTTACTTTACTTTTCATCAAATCAGTTAGTAAAAGATTCAGTATTACTTCTTAATCAATATCTTGAGCAAATCTTTTTTTTATCTAGCAGAACTATCCAACATAGCTCTCATGTTAAGTTACTTTCACCTGGCTATATCACAATGGAGAACCTGATGGAATCACTAAAAATGAGAGAGAGTATATTCCAGAATGTATTTTAAGTTCACACACCTAAGCATCTTTAAGATGCCAGCCATCAACATTCTGCTAGTTTTGCTCATATATATGTTTGTGTCTGTATTCTGAATAATAATACCTCTTCTTTCAAAAAATGCCAGTCACTTTTAACATGCTAAAAGGACTTCTTCACATTACACTTTTACTCTTTAATAAACTAACCTAAGGTACTGTTAACATGCTAAGAAGTTTTACAAAACTAGTTTTGTGTAATTTACGGACATTGCTAATCATTATCAACACTTCCACTAAGACATTTAGTACAACTTTTGTACAAAAACAGACTGTATCATATTATTAAAATAAGTGGTTATTTCATGTTATTTCCTTACACTCAACAGCAACAATCCCAGTGTTTGTAAAGATACATAAGAAGTGTTTTATGTAAACTCTTATATTTTCCAGAAGTAGTCCCAGTGTTAGCAAACACACAAATAATGATTCCTTTTTTACATTCCCAGTGTTAGCAAACACACAAATAATGATTCCTTTTTACATTCCCAGTGTTAGCAAACACACAAATAATGATTCCTTTTTACATTCCCAGTGTTAGCAAACACACAAATAATGATTCCCTTTTACATTCCCAGTGTTAGCTATATTAAAATAAGGTTTACTTTTGATGATCTAATGTTTTTTAAGGCCCACAAAAAGTAATTTCTCTTCATCTTTTTTGTTTAATAATCTTAAAAAATGTCATTGCACTTAACCCTTTTACACTTTACAGAAACGACACACATCATGCTAACAACATACAAAAGTAGTTTGAACCGATTCTCTTACACTGGAGAACTTCACAGACATAGAAGCTTTCGTTACACGGACTGAGTGATATCTCCATATGTTTGGAAGTCTAGATTTATCACAGTTACTGTAACAACCAGAAAAAGTTTACCCTGACCGTTGTTCAACCAAACAGACAAGACAGTTCACTACAGTGGTGGGAAGACTGAATTTTTATAAAGTATTTCCAAAATTCAGCTAAAAAGAAGTAAAGATATGGTAAAAAACTGAGGTGCACCATAAAGTTCACATACTGAATAAGCATTTAAACAGCTATAGCAGTTAAAAGACCTAACCCAAAAGTTATTAAAATACCTAACCCAAAAGTTATTAAAATACCTAACTCGTGTGTTATTGAAACACCTGACCCATTATTAATTTACCTACCTCATAACTTATCAAGTTACCTGACCCATAAGTTATTAAAATACCCAACTCATAACTTATTTAAACTCGTTACTCTTTAAATATGTTACAATATTAAACACATGTGACATTAGTGTTCTCATACACCAATTAGAAAGCTGTAAAAAAACAAATTTGGGAGTTACAAGCCAACTGCGTGTATTCTTGTTGTTGAACTGTAAAACAAAAATTTGGGAGTTACAAGCCAACTGCGTGTATTCTTGTTGTTGAACTGTAAAACAAAAATTTGGGAGTTACAAGCCAACTGCACGTATTCTTGTTGTTGAACTGTAAAACAAAAATTTGGGAGTTACAAGCCAACTGCGTGTATTCTTGTTGTTGAACTGTAAAACAAAAATTAAATGTTTACTGTGTGTTTCACAATCCTCAGTTTCTATACTAATATGTAATTTAACCATTTAACAATACAGGAATAGGCTTTTAAACACATAATAACTCTCCAGCACAATTAGATTCACCAAGTATAACTTTTATAATACATTTGCTATACATGGCACAAGTCACAATAGCTTTGATACCAAACTGAAGCTTTTAGCTATTAGGTTAATTAAATACGCTATTATAACAATGTTTTGGGACCTACTTGTCCATCTCATTTTCCCATCCTTTAAACTAAACTAAAACTATTAATAAATAAATTTGTTAAAACGTTTTTCTAACAGGGTGGTTGGCCTTTGGAATGGGTTGACTTTGGATGTTGTAGAAACAGTAAATTTAAGTGAGTTTAAGAAGCTTGATAAGTATATGAATGATAAGGGTTGGCTTTAAGATTAAACTGTCTTTGCTGAAGATAACACCTACCCTGCCAACATTTATATTTCTGTCCCCTAGTCCTTCCATTCTCACCATTAATTGTGAAAAATGATGATGCATCAACACTATCAGTTCACTTTACAATCTTAAACATCTCAATCAGATCCCCTCTAACTTTTTTTTTTTCAAGAGAAAATTATTTTAGAGATTTCAGCCTCTCCACGTATGACAACCACTCCATCCCAGGCACCATCTAGTAACCTTCCTCTGAACCTTTTCCAACAGTTCAATGTCCTTCCTAATGTAAGGAGCCCAAGATTGAACACAATATTCCAAATGTAGTCTAACCAGTGACCTATACAATGAAATTATAACCTCTTTAGACTTGTATTCAATATTTCTGTAGATACAACCTAAAATCCTATTTACCCTACTACTAGCAACAGCACACTGCTTGGATAGCTTAAATTAAGAGACTGATCAACTATTATTACACCAAGATCCCGTTCTTTCAGTTTCACGTCAAGGTTAGTCCCATCCAAATTATACTTATAATTCAAATTATTATAACCCACATGCATTATCTTGCATTTATTATAATTAAAACCCACCTATTTGCCCATCTAACTAAATCCTTTTGTACATCAGCAGCATCTTTCTTCACAGATAGCAACACCCAAGACCCTAATAATGTAAGATCATTTGCAAATTTTATGTAATTTATTATGTTACTAGTCCGAGTTTGCCTTACCCTTTCATAATTAGAACAACTTTATCTTGCTCTCTTATTATCAGACAAAGTTTACTTTACCTTATTATTAGCACTATTTGATCTTATCTTAATATTAGAACACGTTTATCTTGTCTTATTATTAGAACAAGCAGTTACGGATTGGCACTAGGGCATCGGTAAAAATCCCGGTGGGCCCCTTGAAAAAAAAAAAAAACCCTGTCAACACAATATCGAAATAATTATTAATCTACTGTCATCCCATTAACATTTAAATTATCATGTGTGTTAACTACACGAAAACTGATGCGCATTAAAAAATATTTACCTGACAATATTTCTGTTGAAGACGTTATCTTGTGTCATGTGAAGGGCTCGTCTGTACTTCCAAAATATACTTATCATGTGAATTTAATACTGTATTTTTATTATTTTTTATAACATACTAGACCACCGTGACCCGTTGGGTCAAGCACTATTTAGAGGTTATGAAGAATTCAAGCTAATGTCAATATTGCACCGAAATGAAGGTTTATTTTGGAGATAATTT